TATGTGCTTTACTCAGCCAGAGTTTCTGTATGTTGAGTAATGAACTGTTAATAAAAATACTCTGCCTGACTACCAAGCTCAGCTTCACTTTTTGCTTTTCAAATTTAAATAAAAAACTCTGCATGTAATCTATGCAATGCTTTAGATAATTAATTACTCAATGAATTTGCCACCCTTCTAGAACTGGCCATTACGACATGCAGTAGTCTTCTAGCAACAACTACTGAGATATGAGATAGCAGGGCAAGAAAGTTTTAGGGACCAATGGCTGTGACATTTTGATACTGTACTACTTAGGAGATTTATCCATTCTCTCTGAATGGTTCAGGATGGTGCTCTCAACCATTCATCTGCATTCATGATTTCATCCATCTGCCTCTCTATAACTACATTTCTCCTTCCTGAAAAGAAGAGGCTGGAGGGTACAAATTGACTACCATAATAAGCATCAGCTTTTAGCCACTATTATTTCTTTGTTTCATTCCTAAAGCCCTTGTCTCTATTGTTTGGGGTTTTTTAAAAAATCTTATTATTTTTCACATTTTGTCATGAAATCTCTTGTCTTCTGATAGCTGGCATTCCTGGCATTCTTCTTTAAGCTCGGTTCCTGGAGAGTTGGACAGCTCAGGTTCAGGTTTTAAAACAAATATACTTAGCCATTCTGGCTCTTGAGAAAAGAATTGAACACAGAAAGCAAATTTAAGTGAAAAGTTCATATGTAAATAAACTGTCCTTTTAAAATAAACACAGTTTTTTAAGCCAGTCTTTAGGATTTGGAGTTCTGCTTTGTGGGTTTTTTTTGTTTTGTTTTGTTTGTTGTTTTTTTTCAACATACAGAGCCAGTAATGCCTCCAACAGTCTCATGGAATTGGCCAGTACCCAGGAATACAGGCACCATAAAGTGAGCAGGAATTATAAGACCTGATCAGGGATGACCACCCAATTTAGAATATGCTACGCTATGGGTCAGGACAGGTTATATAAATATTGAAGTAGTGACTGTAGGAGGGGATTCTGTTGCCTTTATGAAGTCTCAGAGTTATAAACTAAGATGGTTCACTTTTAGCAAAAAGAACTGCATAGTCATAGCAGGTCATCACACACTTTGTGGGAGTGGAACTACTGTGGGACATTTAAGCAGGAACCGTAATCTGGAAACACAAGGCCTCTTTGCAGGAGGTAGGGTATCCAGCACACTGTGCTCACGCTGCTGCAACACGCAAGCAGTCCAGCAGCACATGGGAAGCGTGGGCAATAGATACCTTGCGCATGCCCACATCTTAGCCACAGTAGCAATGCAAAAGCAAGAGACAGCATTAAGCCTTTTGAACATCAACAGGATGCCCACAGGAAAGAAAAGCACATCAGCAAAAGATGTACTAGCAAAATACATAGGCTCACATGAAGAATGGCATGATAAGTACATAAACAAATGGTATGTATTAGTATTGTCACACCACTATTAACTTTAACAAAGATGGATTCACTCTCATTACAAAAACTCATGTGGAAGTTGTAAGTAGGAAAAATAAGAAATTAAGAGGGATGTGGAGGTGAGTCTGTTCACACAGCACTAACCTGGTGACAGCAACTCTAATATTTCAAATGAGTTTTCTTAGTAAAAAGCCCGTTCGGTTTTATAAGCAAAAAGTTATTTCATGTTCATCATGCAGTATTTGAAACAACTGGATAAATCAAAGAGGTTTAAAAATAGGTTAGTACAGTTTGTTTTCATAGCAAAGAGTGATTTCTTCCTAGGCATACTGCCCGAAGAGTAACTGTACTAGTTCTTTGAGGTCTGTGATTGTGATAATCTCCACTTTTGTTAAAAAAGAAAGGAAAAGCACGTTCCTACTCTTCACTAACATTCACATTCATTAACATCACATTCCTAAGAGAATGTGATCTCAGCACACCTTAAGGCTCAAAAATCAAAAGCTAAGTAGAAATACACCAGAATTTAAAATACTAGGAGTTCTACAAGAGGATAATATTAAGTTTAGATGTGACTCATGATTTCCAAATGCTTCAGGTATGCAACAGTGATTTGTATAGAGACTGGGTTGCATCAGTGGAAGAGGCAGTTGCAGTGAGAGACTTGCTAACACTCAAAAGGCAGCTGACATTCACAGATTTTTAGAACTTACAAAAATGCATAAATGACACAAATTTGGAATCAGGAAAGAAAGGTAAAAGAAGTATTAAGATACAACTTCAAGTCCCAGTCTAATGAGGTCACATAAGTATGGTTGCTAGTTTCCAGAAGGACACCTTTTTACCCAATGGAAGAACTGGCAGTTTCCTGAGAACATCAGTCTTTTAAGGATGACAAATATAACCAAAAATGTCTTATTCAAAAAACAACCACCATTTTTTTTTCCTGATGAACAGTCTCCACACTCCCTACAGTCTACATTTACCTTCAGAAAAGTATCTACTTTCGGTCATTCTCACTCATGGCTGGGCTTCGCGAACGAAGATTAAGGAAGGCTCTATCCACATTTATTACAGGCACAATCTACTTTTGGTATTGACTTAAAAAAAAAAAAAATTGACTATGTGGAGGTATTGATAAAAACAAGGCATTGATACTATTGATACTAACATATACCGTTAAAGAAATGTGATTTTGGATTGGTAATGGAAGTATCCTTCCTTCAGTACAACCAGAAGACATATTTTTTAAACATTTCAAAATATTTTGGCACACAGATCTTACAGCATGACTTGGAAAATGCAGACTTTTCAGTCAGCTGTTCCGTATCTACATGCTATAGTTCTGCAGGAGATGATTCAATTGTTAATAATTTATAGTATTTACTGCCCTCCTGCTGCTAAGTAAACAGTTTTATAAACTAACTCATGTCCTTGCTGTAATAAACAGAGAGAAGACAGGAGTTGTATTAGTAAGAAGACAGGATCTTCACTTTCTTGCAGGACAGCACACTTTCTGCTAATAGAAAGAAGGTGCCCAAGCAGGCACTTGGCAGAAGTGTGCTTGTCAGAATGGTACCTGGTCTAGGACTGACTGCTGTTGGTTTGGCTAGTGTCACAAGCAGCTGGAGGCAAGCACTGAACATGGTGGGGAATGTTTAAACGGGTATCCCAACTAGCTGGTGGAAGGTGTGGGTTTCTTCTCACAGAGGAGGAGGAATGGAATGTCAGAAGCACTTCTCATGGCATTTATGATATCGGCTATTATAGACTATACATTTACATTAGTGGCTTAATGTGTAATGGAGGTCATGTTGAGTGTAATCATCCTCACAACTGGAGTTCTGTGCATTGTTGAAATACACTATACTGCTGTATGTGAAATGGCTCCTCTGCCAGGGAAATAAGGAGGAGGCTGTAAACGGTGGTGCCACATAAAGTACACAGTAATACAGACCCTTGTTTAGTGCTCCTCAGCCTCAGAAGAGCTGTGTTAAAGTAAGCTTAGATGAACAATAGCATGGGGTTTGCATTGCCAGGTGTGGTTGGCCAGAAATCGAGGGTGGGGTACTTGAGTTAATCATCTCCATTCAGCATCATCACCACCACCACCAAGAAAGATGGCTTCAAGCCACTCCTCTAGCTGTGTAGACTTGGCTGGATCTTCACACATAGCTGCCTCACAGCACCTTAACTCCTGCTCTGCAAATGTTCCTCAGTAACAAAATTAGCAACTTCAGTTTTGATATCAGCAGGGCACATCCACAATATCCTCACTGCAGCAGATTGTGAGGGGGAAGGCAAAGCTGTTTCTGCAGTTGGATCTTGTTTCTGGACCACTTTTGCACATGATGCTGCAAGACCAGTCAGAGTTAGGTCCAAACTGGAACTCAGCCTCCTTTGTTTATGATACGATACACCGTAGCTGAGCCCAGGGTTTCGTTATTCAGGCTGGATAGGTAGAGACAGACAGGTCAAAAGGAGATTTTGAACCCTCCATATGAGGTTCTGTGGCCAAAGGGCCGATCCCGACAGGCCAGTGCACACCAGGAAGACACCTCATTATAAAGGCACAACCATTTTGACAAGACCACATTTCTGTATACAGTTCAACAGTTTCAACTGCAATGTATCTGAATGAATGTATTTTCCAAAAGAAAAGCACGAAATACATCCAGGTAATTACAAACTTAATCATACACAGAATCACATAGAATCAATTAGGTTGAAAAGACCTCTGCGGCCATCGAGTCCAACCTATGACCAAACACCACCACGTCAATTAGACCACGGCACTAAGGGTCACATCTAGTTTTTCCTTAAACACCTCCAGGGACGGTGACTCCACCACCTCCCTGGGCAGTCCATTCCAATGCCCAATCACTCTTTCTGTGAAGAGATTACTCGAAATGTCCAACCTAAGCCTCCCCTAGAGCAGCTTATATCCTCTCAGATGTATGAGAAGCTGTGTCTCCTCACAGCCGAGATGTCCTGATGGCCGGGACTTCCGACAGAGAAAGGTTCGCTTCCACCAAGCGCATCGGGAAGGGCCCGCCAAAGGTGCACACGCGGCCTCTCCGAAGTTCTTAGGCTGAATTTGAGACCTGGAGATGGCATTAAAAGAGGTTCAGTCTGACGCCGCTCCCTGCAGCGCATCCCCGGACGCTTCGCAGCCGCCGCGGTATATTGTCTGCTCGCAGGCGAGCCTGAGACAGCGCCTTTCCGACCAGCGCTGCCCTCCAGCTCCGACAGTGGTCGCCGCGTCCCGCACCTCCGGGCTCGGCGCCCCCAGCCCCGCCACCTCCCAACCATCGCCGCGAGCGCAGGACACCGGCACGATGCCGGGAGCCGCTCGTTCGAGGTGCCCTCTCCGGTCACCGCGGCGCCACCCCCACCCCGGGACCCCCGCCGCGGAAATGGGGGCGGACAGGGGAATCCACCGCCCCGTCTCCCGCCCGAACGCTGGCGCGGCCCCGCCCCGCTCCCCCCCCGCGGGCGGGCGCCGCGGGGTGACGGGCGGGTCTCGGCCACAGCCGAGTGCGGCGTCAGTTCCGGCGGGGAGCGCGGCGCGTGGGTCGGAAGCGCCGCGGCGGTGGCGGAGCGGAAAATGGCGACGGCCGCGCAGCTCACGGATGAGGAGCTCTTCTCGGAGCTGAGGCGTTTCGGCTTCTCCCCGGGGCCGGTCACCGAGAGCACCCGGCCCGTCTACCTGAAGAAGCTGAAGAAGCTGCGCGAGGATGAGCGGGCCGGGGCCCGCGGCGGCGGCGCCAACAAGACCCGGAACAGCAACAACAATAACACGGGGGCCGGAGCGGCGCCGGGCGGAGGCGGCGGCCGCGGGCGGGCGGCCACGGGAACGCGGCTGGCCGGCGCCGAGCACCCCTTCCTCCCCGGGGCTGCCGCCGGGGGCGGCCGTGGCCGCGCCGCACCCCCCGCCGGCGGTGGCAAAGTGCTGCTGGGTTTCAGCTCGGACGAGTCGGACGCGGAGAGCAGCCCCCGGGGCCAGGCCGGCGGCAGGAGGGAGCGCGCTGCGCCCCTGTTCCGCGGCCTCAGGCCCGCCGCCCCCCACGGCGTGAGCAGCAACTCCCCCCCGGAGGAGGCGGCCCGGCGGAAGCCCAGCTCCTGGTGGGGGGCAGCGGCCAGGAGACCGGCGGCGACCCAGGGCGCGAGGGAGCTCGGGGACGGCGAGGAGGAGGGAGGAGAGGAGGAGGACGACGAAGACGAGAAGGAGGAGGAGAGCGAGCAACAGCGGTGGAAGAACCGGACCGTGAACGGGAACCGGCTCCTCTCCTACGGCGGCAGCAGGGACAAGTACTCGGACTCGGAGGAGGAGGAGGAGGAGGCGGCGGGGGCGAGGGCCAAGCAGCAGGGACCGAAGGAGGAGTCTGCTGTTCGCCGGCCCAGACGGAGCCTCAGCAAGTCGCCTGCTCCATTCATAACAAGCAAATGCGCTGCAGCCGGCGCTGGCGTGATGGAGACGGGCCAAGAAAGGGCTGGCGGAGGCTGCGGTGCTGGTGTGCTCGTAACGAATGACAGGGCGGCGGGGGCGGCTGCTGCCGGCAGTCTAGACAGGGGCAGAAACGAGGAGGAGGAGAATGAGGCGGCAGCGGAGGGAAGAGGAGGATGTGAAAATCTGGACTCTAGTCCTCCCAGCCCCAGATACCGCCTATCCAAGAAATCTCCATCAGTATTGTTGCTGCCACCACCGCTCACGGACGTGGACAGCGGTAAAATCACTGACCCCGCAGGCACCATTAGGAAAGCGACCAATAATCATGTTCTCAGCGGTGCTCCTGGTAGCTATAATGTTGAATCCAAGATCTATTCAGCTACTAATAGCCTTCCCCCGAGTGGAACCACCTCCTCCCTTAGACTCAACCACTCCAATCATACGGGTTCAAATCATACCTACCTGAAAAACGCCTACAAGAAGAATCTCTCTGAGCCCGAGGAGGAGCTTCTCCAGCAGTTCAAAAGAGAGGAGGTATCCACCACTGGAGGCTTCAGTGCACATTACCTGTCCATGTTCCTCTTAACTGCTGCATGCTTGTTCTTTCTGATACTGGGATTCACATACCTGAGAATGAGAGGTTCTGGAGTAGCTGAGGATGTGGGAGCCAACAGTAAGTATTAGGTGAAGGGTAAGAGCAGTTTCTGCAACTGGATGTAACAACTGTTAATACGCCTTTGCAATCCCAGACATCCCTTACTGAACAGTTCTGGGCTCCAACTTAGTATAATCTCTCTGTAGAGGATGGTGCACAGAGAAAAATTGTCTTTCCTGAAGTATATAACATTGCAAGCTGGTATAAGCATGCAAGACATTTGAGGATAAATTCAAATCCTGGCATTCCCTGCTGTAATCTGTTAATACCTTGTTTTCTAGCAAGTTTTCTTCTCTAAGCAGTTGTATGGTTTTGTCCAATATAGCGGGTGTATGGTTAATAGAGAATTGACGAGGTGGGCCTTTATGCTAATCTCACAGGAGTAATCATGCACATTTAGATACCTGGGATTCCTGCAGGGCTAAGATTTGATTGTAGTCGTTCGGTAATAAAGTAGGTTATTTTCATTGGTGTGTACTGAGGCTTGAAAAGGATCCTAGGTTAAGATGATGTTACGCAGTACCACAAACTTTGTGAAGTAAATTATTTGACCTATTGTATGTTGTTTTCTAGTAGGCACTTATAAATTCAATTGACAATAATATTTATATGTGAAATACTGTTGTGCTTTAGTTCGAATTTCAGGGCATTCGTTTTTTTTAACCCTGGATTATTTGGGAGCTTCTTTAATATATGAAAGTAACTTCTTGGAATGGATATAGAAACTACCATTTTCTATTACAAAGCATACAAAAATGGAAATGTGCCACCTAAGGGTAGTGATTCATGCTAATTCAATTCTTGGCTGTTCTGAAATGGACAGTGAAGATTCTAACATCAGAAAGAAAAATCATGCCACTGCTGTCTTGTTTTTTCATTGATCCTGATGAAAAATTATGCAAAAAGCTAGTCTCGGGATATAAGAGCATTAGAAGGGTCTTGGCAACTTGCATTTTTCTTGAAATGATCGAGAAAGGCATGTGGGGTGTACACACGTGTGTACATTTCTTTGTGGGCATGTATACAGTGCCTTGTAAGGAGCGATCAGACTGTTCTCTTCGGATATTCTAGATGTTACAGGGCAGAAGTAGCAGTGTGGGCTGCTTTTTTGTTGGCTTTCTTTTTTTTCTATTCCCTTCTGGACGTTATTCATTACATTATGGTAGCAGAATAGTTCTTAATTGCTGTTTTGCAGTCTTTGGAGGGGCGAGTAAAAGATTTGGTGGTTAGGTAGGACAGTTGCAGCAAGGAGTTAAGACACTTGCAATGTTTTAATTGCTATCCACGTGGCTCTTAACTGCTGTTCAGTCTAGTTTTTTGGGAAGGCTGTGAACATACACAGGTAGGCTAAAATTAGATGCAGTATAGTGTGACTGTGGGGACTGCTCATATTTTGTGATTAGCTTCTGGCCATAACTGCTAGAGACATACCTACATTTTGTAATGTACTCGTAAGCTGTATAATTGTACTAACGTATTACATACTTTTTCTGGTATTGAAATATGATGATTTTAATAGGGGAGAATGTCTGTTAGCCTACTGGGGTAAACTTTGTGACTGCCAAAGTCAGTGGTTGAGTTAAAATTGGCCTGTCATCATGACTGATAAAGCTGAATGTCTCAGCAATGCAGATAGCAATAGTACTTAAAGTTCAGTGTTGTTTTTTTTTTTTTTTTATTGGAAGAAAACCTCTTTTTGAATGTGTGAACTTTCCTATAGAACATATGGGATGCCCATGTTGAGTATATTGACCTTAAAAAGTTAACCCAGCTGGAACTGTTGTACAGGGAAAATCGTCATCTTCTGCCCTTTTGCTTAGGTAGGGCTGCCCAGTCAGTGGTCTGATAGCCCAGTGTTGCTTGGTAGTTCAGTTAAGCCAGTTCTCGGCCTGTTCTTATTTGCTGTCTTTTCAGTGGAACTCCTGAAAGTGGATTTCCTGGAGAATTGTTCTGGCAGTGGCACTGGCATTTCATCTGTCCTACTTCCTCACAGCCCCAGGCTTTGCTCTAACATAACAAATGGGAACAGGGGAATAGCGCCCTTTGGAAGAAGCAAACAGCGAGTTTTGTGTCTAGCTCCTTTGATTGAAAGAGGAGCAGGCCACTTCTCTTAAGTAATGTGGGAATGATCAGGAAATTACCTTTCCCATATGTTCAACATGTGCTCACTAAATTCTTTCTTTTCAAATAGGCGTATGGAACAAAAATACTGTAGGTCTGTAGAACAGGCAAGAACAGACAGGACAGGCCATTTAAGACTGATTTTTACTGAAAAGGGAGAGAACCCTGTTTTCTATTAGGTGATTCCTGAGCTTAAATATCATCCAAGTGAGCACTTTGGCTCTTATGGTTATGTGGGTCTATTGTCTGTTTTCTTTATAGAAGCAGAACTGATTCATCCTTTTTTATTAAAAGGAGTGGTGTATCTCAAGAAACCACCTTTTCATTTAAGTGATTGGATACTGAGGTTTTTCTTCTTTTAGATGGTTGTAGGTAAGACTGTTGGATGAGACTGATTTCATTGTGAAAAAAAGAGTTATTTTCAACTCCAAACTATGTCATAAAAAGTTTTAGAATTCAGCAGAGTTGCACTATATCCATCTCCGTAATTATTGTGACAAAACAATAAAGGCAGTTATTTGTATATTTGGATGGTTTCTTATTTTAACTTTGTAGAGAATGATGCACAATGAGCTTAATGTTGGTTTTCTTAATAGTTAATTGCCTAAAATGAAATGCAATTAAAATAAGGTGATAGTACGTTTGTGACATTGAAAAATATTTATCACCAAGTACACTCGTTATCAACACTTAAAATATTTGTCAGGCTGTAATCTAAGAACAAAAGAGGTGTGTGTAATGAGGGGGAGGCTTAAAACTAGGTGTTGGGGTTGAGTTTAGCCAGGTATTATAATGTAAATGAGAAGGGGTGAGCAGAAAACTTCAGAAGGGATTTGTCACTTATATCATGCACAGTGTTCTCTAATAATTTTTTTTTGTTCAGAGCTCTGAAATAGCTATGAAGTGCTTTAGTTTTTACACACGTGGCATAAAATGTTCAAAGACAAATCAGAACTGGGCTAATTTTTCTGTATCTAACCTATAAATGGTCACTAGAAGTAAGGTTTTTATGCATTTTGCTGTCTAAAATATAGATAACTGTCTATTGGGCTTTTCCTGAACCCATTGAAATTGAACTACTCTTTAAGCTTGCATAAAAGACCAACTAATGCATAAGTGCATGCTGTGCACTTGTTGCTCTTGCTATAAAGCAAGTTTTGCTTGCACCTGCCTTCAAAATACCAATGAATTGTATCAACTTCTTGCCAAACCAGCATAGTATTTTGTCAGGAAAATGGTTGACTTTATTTTAGTCTACTTTCTAGAGTTCTTCGAACCCTGAAGAGTGGGATATCTCTTCCAACTTGTGTGGTTTTGTGATATTACTCTGAGCACCTCAAGTGGCTGCTCCTGGGAGTTAATGCTGAAGTTATTTTTCATTAAAAGTTGGATAACTATATCAGATCACTTGATGTTGCTTTCAGATCTGGTTCACCTTTCTGAAGGATGTGGGCATGGTACAGGTGCCGTTTAAGGTTGTAATCTGAAATCGGTTGCATTTAAGTTACTTCTACTGTTTCTGCTCCAGCACTTTGTCTGCGAAGTAGCTGATGTGGCAAAAAAACCCCAAACCAACAAAACCACCACAACAAAAAACTGTTCTTGAAACTTTCAGGTAGGTCTTGTTTAAAATCCTGTGTTCTTATTAGGAGTGGCTTTTTAAAGTGACATCTGTTGCTAGTAATTTTGGTCTTCCTGTGATACTTGTTACAAAACAACTGCTAGGAGGATAAACTTTACTATATTTGCTACAATTTGTGTTTTTGAAGTGTTAATTCAAGGAGATTTGGTAGTTGTGTATATTGCAAGTGGAAGCTTATGCAAATCACAGTTCTAAGAGTTTAATTCAATTCCATTGATGTTCTTTTGTTCTTGACTTCTAAATCTCTTAGGTGTTAAAACTTCTGTGGAATTTTATGCAGGGAATTGAATTGGTAAGAAGTTAACTTGCTGGATAAAGGACAAGATGATGACTGCTATGCTCACAGGCCTGCAAATTACTATTAAAGTGATGTGGTATTTCACAGATAAATCTACTTGTTATAAATCTACTTGCCATCTAAGATCACCTTCTCAGAAGCGTCTATATTCTTGACAGTGTTGGCTTTAATAGAAGAAAGTTAATTTTGCAAAAGAAGTATTTATAGAAGAGGAGATAGCAAAGGGAGGGATTAAAATTAAAAAATTTGCAGAGTTCCTGTGTTGGGTGGATATTAACGTTTCTTGTGGTTGGCAAAGAATACTGTAACTTGTATTTACAATATAACAACTTCTATTGAAATATTAGCATATAGCTGTTTCATTTTCTGTATGTTGCCTTAAACCCTAGGTAGCACATGTTTCTCTTGTCGGTGATATAAAAGAAAATCCTGATGTGTATCTTAAAGACTAATCTCAGTTGTAGCTATCTCAATTCTGTGGTTGGGTGAGATTTGAATCAAGATCAGTAGATTAAAAAAAACCACCTAGGCTGTCTTCATAAGGTAAAACCAGTCAGAATAGTTAAATTTCCCTAGGATTCCTGATAATTTTAAACTCTAGTCTTCCTTATGGTATGTCAGAAATAATTCTTTAAAACGACAAACAAATTTGGCCTTTTATCTAGGAAAGTCCGAGTAGTTATATAGTCCCTTTTATCTAGACTTTTGTCTAGGAAAGTCCTAATTGCTATATAGTGCAAAAGTTTCAGGTCCTTCCTAAAGGATAATAAACAGTCTATTTACCTTTGCAGCAGATCTGTAGTATGAAATATAATATGAAAATTACTCATCAGTGTTTGAAACAAAAATGATGCAAATTCAGAATTCCTGTTTTTAGGGAATTTTGACTCTTTGTTTTAGTTTTGACTCTTTGTTCAGAATATTTATAAATACTTAGCATTCGTACCTTAAATGTGTTGCTGTTTGCA